TCTGTAGAGCTTAGTTATTGTTGTAGCTGTGTAGCTGTATACTGGGCTTTACACAGGTATACAGGGGTGTAAACACCTATACACAGGTATACACGGCTTTACACGGCTATACACAGCTATACAGGGCTTTACACAGTTATACAGGGCTATACACAGCTATACAGAGATATACACAGTTATACAGGGCTATACACAGCTATACAGAGATATACACAGTTATACAGGGCGATACAGAGCTATACAGGGTTATACACAGCTATGCAGAGATATACACATGTATATAGAGCTGTACACAGCTGTACACAGCTGTACAGGGCAATAAACAGCTATACAGGGCTATACACAGCTATACAGAGATATACACAGCTATACAGAGCTATATACAGCTATACAGAGCTATGCATTGTTATACAGAGCTATACACAGCTTTATAGGGCTATTCACAGCTATAAAAGGGGTGAGTCTCGAAAGAAACTGTGGTGCTGCTTCAGGGGGGTAACGAGTTCTAATAATTTGGTTTTATACGGGGCTATTCACAGCTATGCAGGGCTGCGTACAGCTATACAGAGCCGAGCTGTTTTAGTCCAAACTCAAACTTAAACACAGTGTAAGGAGTTGGTTTATTCTGCAATCCTTAATATCAACCTTTGCATTCAGAAAATGATAAGCAAGGGGCATGAAGTTGTTAGAATACCTACCACAACGTCTTGCAATGAGAGATGGATAATTAAATCGAGCGCCGAATGTTTTGGCTGTTAGATTGGGTGAATGTCTATGTTTTTTAATTGAGCGAACGCTAAGGCTGTTGGTTTGAGACGACATTGGGATTGGGTTGGACGTTGTGGCAACAATGATTTTGCTAGAAAAAGACGAGCCTATTTTTTCCTGCTTCACGTACTTGTTACAATTCGCGTGCGTTAAATAAAATAGCTGCTGCGGCGATTCAGTTCGTAGTGTTAGCCAAAGACTATGAAAAAAGCGAATTCACTGCACATTACTTTGTAGTAAAAAATCACAAAATCAGAAGAATATCAAGGGATGATGCAATCATGAGCAAGCTCACACCATATCTAGAATCGCTTAAAGGGTCGTCTTGAATTGCTCTTAGCCAATGAAATTACTGGATCCAAATTTTGTGCATTTTGCTGCACTCTGACAAATTTACTCATCTCATAACTTTGGAGTAATTAGCCTCTCCGCATGAAGCCGGCTCTCAAGTTTGATAGAATGTCAAAAATTTGTTAAGGTATTACCTTACTACTGTAACATTCACTCAATGAACACTCAGAAAATACCAGTTCATTTTAAACCAGTGGTAATATATTGCGAACTCTTAACAATGTAGGTCTTAGAAAAATCAAGAATGCTGTACTGAAGCGTTTTTATTGCGATCCATTTCTATCATAGCGTTCACATTGTCCGCAAACAGTTCAAGATTATGGGTAGATTTTTAAGTACAACCTCCATTTTGATTTTCTCCTATATGCTTTGGTTTCATGCCAGATATGAAAATATCATGAAAAATGTAGTTATCTCTATAAAATCTCGAAAGGACTTATTAATAGTAAGATCCCCGATTGGAAAGGGTTTGATGTCAGTTAAAGAACTCACACTTCCACACATCATTTGGGTTGTCACTATTCGTTAATCATGGCTAGGAGGGGACCGGCATTCAAATTTGAGTAGGATGTCAGGGATTTCCTTTGATACTTCTCTGATTTTAAATCATATTTCATCCCAAGTTATGTTACCAGAAACACATTTAAGGTTTTCCAATCGGTTTATAGTTACGCTATTTATCTTAACACCCTATACCATAACAAAAAAAAGAACTTCCAAGCGTTACGCACCACCCATGAGTGAACCAAGACTGAGCAATCTTCAGATAAAACTGGGGTGTACAGCACATAAATCGGGAATCAGGGTAAGTTTTCATAAACGTGCAAAGTTTTCTCTGTACCTTTTTTTTTTTTTAATAAACACCAGCACCCTCTTAGCCATGATTAACTACCATTCCCATATTTACATGAATGTTTTAACTGCTAAAGGTCTTTACCTTGTAAGTGACCCCTTTTCTAGGTCGTCTCTTTATGCAGCTTGGTATCATCAGCGTATAACGCTGCCCTCATCCCGGCTACAGTTTCACCCGGGAGATCGTTAATAAAGATCGTCCAAAACTACCCTTTGAGCTCGACCCTTTCGCAAAATCCAAGTAAAATTAGTCTGAATGTTCTTATCCTTCTAAGCAGTGGATAACATTTTTCATTTAGCTCCGCAGGTTTTCCACGATCGCTGTATAGCCCTGTATAGCCTTGTATAGCTCTGTATAGCTGTGTATAGCCCTGTATAGCTGTGTATAGCTCTGTGTAGCCCTGTATAGCCTTGTATAGCTCTGTATAGCTGTGTATAGCCCTGTATAGCTGTGTATAGCTCTGTATAGCTGTGTTTAGCCCTGAATAGCTGTGTATAGCTCTGTATAGCTGTGTATAGCCCTGTGTAG